CAAATGACGGCTATCCCTAGACAGTCATTGACCTTTTGGGTGCGCTTCGGTTACGAAAAGGTTTGAAGTAAGTAGTTATGTATGTATGTGTAATTGCCTCCAATTGTGTAAAAATGTCGAGAAGAAAACGAAAATTTGTAGCGGAAGCTCGTGAAATACTTAACCAAAAAATAAATATTACTACAAGCTGTTTTTTTTTTTTTTTTATTTATCAACTACTACTGTCCAAAAAAGTTAATCATCAATGTCAATCAACTTGAAGGGCAATAAGAAAAGCTTTTGGGGAACTTTTCCTTCCTAAACCGTACGTACGCACATTGGTAAGCATATATGTATATACTTAGTCCCTAAATCAGATTATTTATGTAAATTTAAATACATATGTAAATAGTAGATTCCATTTATTTATGTACATACTAAATCTATCTGTCGACGGTAATAATAATGGTGCCAGTTGAAATGGCTGTGAAAGACCTCATTTCTAATCGACGTGAATGAGGGTTGCCATCCGTTTAAAAAGTCAAATTCAACACAAATTAAGGGAATTAGGTAACTGAAATATATATAAAAATAAGATGTCCAAAAGGTTGGTAGCTTGAAAATATTTTGAAGGGGGTGGCTACCTGTGGAAAAAGTTAATTTCATATTTTTAAATAAGTTAAATAATTTATTACAATATGGGCATCAATGGACATGGTTTTGAACAGCTTATGAACTAGGAGTGCTCCCCCCTGTTTAAAACGTCAAAATTAAGTTAAATTGTGTGAATTGGATAATTGAAATATTTAAAAGGTTGTGATTTTTGAATATTAACAAGAAGGTTGCCACCTGTTTGAAATGTCCAATTTCATTAAAGTACCTACAAGTTATATGAAAGATTAAAATATGGGCGTCAAAAGAGTGCTAAGAAATCTTTAGTTTAAAAATCGAGAAAACTAATTTTGAGGGGTTTGAAAAGGGTTGCCACCTGTTTTAAAACTAAATCCAATTAAAATTATTTAATAAGTAAAATGAATTATTACACACAGTAAGTGAACTAGGAAATGTATCACAATATGTAGCACGCAGAGATTTCATACACGCAGAGAAGCGAGTGACGGAAAACTAGTAAGTACTTATATTAAAACAAACAGTTTCTTTCGTGTAAAATGTCATTAAGTAGAAATTCCAGTCTATCCGATTGTAAGTTCTAAATGACTGTAATTTATTTATTTTTCTCTTTTTCACTTCTTACTCTGCAATTCGGTTAAAATAACAATGACCTAGGAGCTTTTGATTGCGATTTATTGGGTATTTGTTTCTTAGGTGATGTAATCTGTCTGGGCAAATCTCTTTACGCAATAAATAATGTGGTGCTCCGGGCTTGACTTTTAACAAGTGTGGGACAAGTAAATTGCGTGAATTGGCGATTCTTGTTGCTTTCACATTTTGCTTTCATTTTGCCATTTACGAATTATTAAGGATAATGTTTACAGTCACGATACTGGCAATGGTTACAATCATGATTGTCGATTTTAGTGAGGAAAGTGGAAAACAGAGGGAATACCGTGAATATTTAGTATTTTATTTTGATTTTTTGTTTATTAAAAACTACGTGAAAAAGTTATTTAAAATGGCTCTAGGCAGCCACGATGTCATTTAAAAACCATTTTTATTATGGCTAAATAGAGCGCCGAAAACTTGAAAAACGCCTTACTGCTTAAGGCATTTCGGTGGATTTCCATTTAATTGCTAAAAGGAAATGAGAGAAGATTCATGGTGACGGCAACTTGTTTGAAAAAATTACTTTTACCCTGTTTTTCTGGATCCCATATTACTTGGAAAATTTATCGGGCTCTGGTTTTTCGGCCAAAAAACTATTACAAACATTAATGAAATACAAAAATATGCAGTATTGTTTCCAGAAGTAATGCAGATCTGCTCATAGCCATACGAATGCGTTAGCCGATCAAGAGTTCCCGTCGGGCAGGGAAGTCTTTCCATAAAAAAACACCGTATGGAAACTAAAAGAAAAACACTAAACTTACATATTTCGGAGTCAGCGAAAGAATTCCTATATATTTACTCTGTTCTCCAATTAGACCTCATTTAATGTCAACTTACCTTATCCAAGTACTTACTGGCATATGCGCCTGTCGACCAGGCACCTGAGCTAATTGCGAGGGACAACAGTCTGCATAAAGGCCTACATTCTTCCATGAATACCAATGTCAATGGGTCAGCAGGAGCGCTGAAGAAATTGGAATACGTCACCAGTTTCCAAAAGCGTTGAATACGAGTTTTGATCAAAGATAGTATTGAACCTAGAAAAGCTTATGGAGATGGAGCGGGAAAACTACAACGAAGTCAAGCAAGCAAGTCCACCAGGTGCTCGCCTAAAGCCTATCACGAAAAAATTTCTCAAATTCTGATATCGTTTGCAATTAAAGCCAGATATTTTGTAGGAACTTATTTTCTGACAATCTGCGTAAATCATTCACATATACCTCAAGATTTATGTCTCCAGCTATCTCAGCGATAGAGTGTTGCGCTACCACAGCGACATTGGATTTGCGGAGTATGACGTATCGGCAAGTGTCCCTCAGGGTTCAGTGTTAGGCCCATGTTTTATGGCATCCTCCGGCATGGTGTTCCGAAGGGGCGACATTCATAGGCTTCGCGGAGGACGTTTGCATCGTCGTAAGATCTAAGACGCTGGCCAAAATAGCATCCATCGCAGAGAGAGCTATAAAAGTAGCTGAGGAGTGGTTAAGAGAAAACTCTCTAATGTTAGCAGCCCACAAGACGGAAGCCGTTCTTATCAGTAGCCGAGATAAGATGAAAAAAAAACACAATTATAGAGTCCAAGCCGTGTGTAAAATATCTGGGCGTCTTGATTGACCACCGCCTTTGCGCTGGACCACCTGGAATCAGCAAACAAGAAAGCGGCGATGGCAACAGCAACCCTGTCTAGATTAACTGCGAACATAGGCGGGTCACGGCAGCAGGCTAGACAAGTCTTGGCAGGGGTGGTGAGGACAATACTCCTTTACGGATCGACAGTCTGGCGTGACGCTTTCAAACGAGCTTCTTACATACGAGACATCAATACCGCTTAAGTGCTCTTAGGGTATGTTCAGCTTACCTAACTATTTCCGAGGATGCAGCACTCATTATCGCAGGTTCATATCCGCTGGATCTCGCGACCTAGGAGATGTCCCAAATAAGAATCGCGCGGCAGGATCAACACTTAAAACCGCAGCGAAAGCACAAAGCGTGGAACAGTTGCAAATTCGTGAGGATAGAGGTGGAAAGTCCGTTTTCTTGAAAAGTAGCGGCATATAGAGGGCGAACCTCTCAACTAATATCGAATAACCAGCATTAAACTGCTGCATACGGACAGTGCTTCTTAGTGGTACAAGACAAAAGGGGTGGGTAGGTTAACACCAACTAAGACAAACAGTGGAATAACATGAACAGTAACAGAAAAAATTGTGGTTTTTCTGCACTTTCAAAACGCGTTGCCGACCTTAAAAACCGTATGCGGAATTTAGGAATTGTTAAATGATAGGCTCTTCAAAGAAAAGAAAAATTAAAAATTTTTCATGAAAAAAATTCTGATATTAAGTGAGAAGTTTTAACGTTTGGAAGAAAAAGAGGGTTGCCACATGTTTAAAAATGGTTATTCGATTAAATTGATAAGATTATACATATTATATTACAATATGGGTATACAACCAAAGCAGCTTAAGAAAGCTTAGTTTCCAAAATTGTTTTAAAAGTATTTCCATCGAATTCAATTAATTTAAGGGATATGAAGTCTTGCAGCAAGGTTGTCAAAATGAAGCAATTTAAGAAACCTTAGTTTAGAAAATATTTTTAAAGGGAGTTCCCACCTGTTTGAAAAATTAAATTAAATTAAACTGATAAGATATATTGAATATTTCTGTTTTGTTATCAAACGAAAAGTATTTAAGAAATTTTCGGCTTAGAAACATTTCTCGTTTGCGTTGTCGCCAATCTAAAAAGTTAAGAATAAAAATTCAAAATTAAATGAAATATTGCGAGATGGGTACAATAAGAAAATTGTTGCCACTGACATACATTTTTATACTGAGGGTTTAAATAAATAGAGTTGAAATACCAATTCTAAAATGTTAACGAACCCAAAAAATTTAAAAATTCTTTGATGGATGGTAATTTTTGTCAACAATTTTTTTTTAATATGGTCGATTCAATTAACTTTTTAAAGCTTTCATTAGATACATATTTACAATGCGATATTTGACTGAAATTACACATTTAGCTCGTTTTAATTTTTAGACAGGTGGCAATCCTACCCCTAAATGTATGCAGTGTAAAGTTATTCAAACAACTTATCTAACACAAGATAAGGAGGTAATTTAGAAGAAAAAAAACGATCGTTGGACATTTTACCGGCGAAGAGATTACCCGTATAATAATAAATAAATAAATATACATATTTCTTGGCATTTATTGTAAAGACTAGACTTACAAAAAATATTAAAACTAAAAGCTTGTTTTTTCAGTTAAGATTAATGTATATACGTGCTATTTTTAAAGATAAAATAAATAAAAAGCGATTTCTTGATTAACACAAGGAGATGAATGTTTTAATCACAGATTTTGCTTGGCTACATTTTTTTCCAAGAAATTATCAGATATTAATGAGAAGTTGTGAATATTGAAGTTGGAAGTATTTTTTTTTATAAACAAACATTCTCGTACATACACATTGCTTCGCATAACTCTAACAACACATTAAGAATTTCAGTACTAAATATAAAATCTTACGCAATTCCTACAACTACATACATACTACATATTTACACGTAATGGACGCACTTTCATCGAAAGCGCATATTAAGCTCTTAGTATATCTATTAAATATCTGCATAAGTGTGCATATTGTCTAGCGCGTTGATGAAGCACTATTATCCCAGCTGCTTAAGTGCCTATCTTCATACACTAATACACATACATACAAATGTATGTTTAAGTTATAACAGCTCATCTTGTTCATTGTCGTTTCTTTGAATAGCATCAGCTTGTTGCAAGTGAAAATTCTTAGAATTATTCTTGTACGTGTTTGTCAAACCGCAGTTGTTCTGGCCAATATCTCTTTGTATCCGAGTATCGTATGTAATCAAATGTAATTGTTCATCTATTTCATTATTCCCAGAAACATTGCCATATGAAGTGATATTATTATTGGAAAAGGTTGTCGTTGGCATTTTTGCTCCATAAAAGTTGTTCCCCACACGCATTGATGAGTTTGGCGGCACAATGCTGCTGGATCGTACTGAACTTACTCGCGTATGCATCGATTGCGTACGCTCTTGGCCATCTAGTAATGTGTGGGTTTTACAAAGGCAAGTAGCAAAACGTTTGTTAAATTCGCGTTTGAATTTTTCCTGAAAAAAAAGAAATGGAAAAAGCATGTAACTATTGATGTATGAAAATTTCCACACAGAATCGCCTCAAGCTCATCTGAAAGCAGTCAAAGTATTCTGCTAAGTCCTTTTCTTTCCTTGACATTTTATAACGGTGTCAGAGTTCGACTATTTAATAAAGAGAATTCAAGAGTAAGTTTCTCTATTTTATCTCTGTATTACTATCATGAAAATGTGAATGTATTTCTTTCGAATACGAACTTGTTAGTGCTCCATAATTTCAATTTTCAAAGAGAAAACAGGTGCAATTGCATTTATTAGGGTGTCCCGGAATATAGGAGATTTTTTTTCGAGATTCGAATATCTCCCATACAGAAAAATGGAAGATTGTCATAAAACATATGCTTATTTTTAAAACAATAAAATGTAATTAAAAAAGAAAATAAAGAAGGCAAGTTCATAAAAATTAAAATATATATTTTTTCTTTTTAAAACCATTAAATCTAAAAATGTAAAGAAATTAACAAATATAAAAATTAAAAAAAAAATTAAAATTAACAGAAAATAACTAAATTAAAAATAAAAGTTTCTTAAAATGAAATGAAATTAAAAAATTATATATTTTTCTTTTTAAAACAATAAAATCTAAAAAGTTTAAAGATAGTTAAATAAAAAAACGAACAATAAATAAAACTAAAAACTAAATATACTAAATATAAATATAATAAATAAACTAAAACTAGAAAAAAATTCCAAGGCCTCGAATTTCGGATCTGTAAAAATGGCACTCCAGCGCTTTGCTCACTCGGCCATTGCGCAAGCATACATATATAAAAGTGCCTTCTGTCGAAAGAGCTTTTCGCCATGAAATCTGGCAAGGGAGATTTTTGCGTAGGACATTCAGGCCAGAATAAACAAAATATTTCAAACTACTTTCTTGCCTACTGTTATACAAAAGACTTTCAAGCATATATCTTAGCTAGAATTGGCCTGTAAGTCACCCGAATGCCAGGGCGTATGAGTGACAATGATGTCCAATATCAACATCAGGCTTATTCCGGTCCAAATAATCACTGTAATTGCAACCATGCCTACTTTTTACCGCTATAGATCTGACCCACATTGACTGAGCCTAGGGATAATGCTTTCTTTATTATTTTCCTCTATGGCGCCTTTGATCCTCTGACACCGTGTGGTCAACGTAGCTATTTACGGCGCTTGTACTCGCGCTTCCTCCATCGCTCGTTGACGCTTAGTAACCTGTTCCATTTCATGTACAATGATGTCGATAACCAGGATTTTATCGAATTTATTCACTGAGTTTGTCTAGCTTTAGAGGGGCATGGTCTAGTAAAGTGCTTGGGCCAACCCGCTGGTCATCAAGCCCATACATACCAAACAATACTGATGTCCGGAATTACTGACCGCGCCTACTGATTCTCTTCTGCGATATTTAATGCTCTCTGACCGCTGAGATGGTAAGATGACAATAGTAGATTTTGTGGTTGGCTTTAGAGGGTTGTGTTTTAGTGAAACTTTTGGCCCACCTCTAGTTATCAAACTAACCTTGTAGCCATCCGCAGAAATCTCAAATTACTACGCTGTACGCTGGGTGATGAGCTTACTAGTTGAGGTCACAGGACACTCGGTGTTGGTAACTATTAACTTGGAGTAAATTAGCGTCCTCAGTTATTGAAATATCGGAGTTTTTGGATGTCTGAAATTTACCGTTATACGGCGTGTGGGTGTAATTTTAGTCCGAATTTTGAATAATTTTCAATGAATTTTTTCCTTCGGAGATACACATTTGGTGCCATAAGGTGCGACGCCACGGCCTTTATCCAAAAAGGTATAGTCATCTAATTTTGTGCTAAGTGGTTATTGTAATTATCGATTTTGAGTCTATTAGCTTCAGTAGTTACAGATTTATCACAGTTTTCGTGTTTCTGTAAATTACCGTTATATGGGAGGTGGGCGTGGTTATTGTCCGATTTCAAAGATTTTCTACAGGTTTCTTAGCTATGACCTAGGCAAGGCTCGTACCGAGTTTGGGAGGCATTGGTGAAGCGGCTACTGAGATACAGCATTTCATCATAAATGGGCGGGTTTACGCCCACTATCCAAAAATTTCATAATAATACTATTTTTTACCAAAATTAGATTTCACATACAATTTGGATTAGATTGGGATACCGTTATATGGAAGTGGGCGTAAATTTCGTAAATTTTCATTACTAACCTACCTTCGGTAAAGGGAAACCTACGTACCGAATTTCGTTGAGATATCTCAATTTTTATTCGAGTTATCGTATACACGGAGGGATGGACAGACGGACTTGGCTTAATCGACTTCTCTATTCATTCTGAGCATTTATGTATACAGTTGTCTATATCTATCTCGATTCGTGTTGGCTGTTACAAACAACCGTTAAGTGAACAAAGTTACATAGTATACCCTTGTGCACAAGTGCGCTCGGGTATAAATATGAAAATAAAAGGCGAAAAATATCATCTAGAAAAGTGGCAGTGGTGTAAGACATTATTACGTGCTTCTTTTCCTACTGGGTACACAAACCCATGCACAGGCGCAGGCAGATGTGCCTCTATAATTTTCTTCTACTCACATTATAAATTCCATAGATGAAGGGATTGTAGCAGCAATTGCTCATCGCTAGCCAATCACAGCAAAACCAAATAATATTTATGAAATGGTATTCATTAATCTCTGGAAAGGTTACGTAGAGAATATTGTACAGTTGCAACGGAAGCCAGCAGAAACCAAATACAACCACAACGATAATGAGCATTTTTATAACCTGTCAAAACGAAAAGACGAAAAAATATAAATAAATAAATGAGCACGAAATGAGATTACAGATTAAATGCGAAAATAAATGGCTGAGAAAAAAACCAAAATTGAAGCAGCAGAATAGTGGATAAAAATTAACACTTGTTGTACGCTACGGCCACATAGTATCAAGAAAAGTGTCGCCCTTATGCTCGCAACTACAAGTATCTTTTACCGCAATGAATTAGTACTAGGAAGTATTTCTACCTATTATGCTGAACTTCACAGGTAACTTACCTTCTTTTTGTTACGCAGAAATGTTGTGTCGCGCGTGTCTTGTGCATTGCCAGGCGCCCGTGTGCCCCACAAACGCACCGCCATTTGTATGTAAACAAAAGAGATGACGCAAAACGGCACAAAGTACTGCATAAAGACCAATGTGTAACGGTATGTTTGCAATTGTGCCTCAGAGAGATTTTTATTCATGCAAAATGGTTGTGTGGCATTGAATATTATACCATTTTCTGTGGAATTGAAAAAAAAACAACACAACAACACAATTTCAGTGCACATTCAAACTGTTCTGAATTGCAAAGTAGGATTTGTTCTATGTATCCCACACGATATTCAAAGGTGGCACAACTCAAAAATACACATTAGTCAGAAAAGGCGAAAAACTATTTCTTAGCACATGCTAATCATATGAGCAAGGAAGACTTTACCTTAGGGATTTTCAACCAATTATAAGAAAAACTTCCTCCAGCTTTTACTAAAAGATAAATACAAATCTGTTTACGTTTATAGTGCAACATTTCAAAAATGCCAAATTTTGAGTCGTGACACTTTTGAAGATCGTGTGCCGATATGTACACTGCCGGCACAAAGTATTGGCACAGCAAATTCTTCACAATATATGCAACAATTTTTATTCTAATATTATTCCACTAATTTTTTATAAAAATATGGTTCATTCAACAACAAAAAACATAAAAAGTCCTATTCCTAAACTTTGTGCTAAACTCGCGAAAATTCCGCAGATTTTCATGCAAATTTTAAACTTTTTAATCAGATTTTTTCGAATTTTTTTGGGTATGCAGTTTTGCAGCCAATAAATTCTAGTAAAAAATGCAAGTTCAGAGTTATTTAATTTTTTTTTTTTGTTAAAGGTGTTTTGCAAGAGACTGCGTGAAAAAATTGCAAAAAAATCAATCGTAATTCCTACCCAGTCGGAAACAAGTGACTTTTTTTAAAATCAAACTAATTGAAAAACTACTTTGAAACAAGTGAAGTGAGTAAATGTTTCGAATTTTGATACCCTTTTTACCAAAAGAAACAATTTGTGTCTTGGATGTATGAAAAAGCATCTGTGAAGTGCAGACCTAAAGCGTATTTAAATGAAACATAGTGACTTTAAAGTGTTTTAATCCAGATGCATTTTAAAGTAGTTGGAATCAAATGCAGAGTCGGACAATCGGCTTGCTGCTTGCACACAATTCAAACTGAACATTTGAAAGCACACTTACATGTCTGGCTGTGGCTGAGCGTGCAGAGGTGCTTGCTGTTATTTGTTAGCTTCCAGAAGGTGCGGGTTCAAATCCCATCAGAGGCAAAATGTTGAAATGAATTTTTTTTTTTTTGGCTTCGAAATATGAAAAAGCATTTGTGAAGTGCAGAACGAATGCGTATTCAAACGAAAAATACTGACATTGAAGTTCTTTAAACCAAATGCATTTTAAACTAGTTGAAATAAAATGCAGAGTCGGATAATTGACCTGCTCCTAGGACATGGCCATGTTAATAAAGTTAGTTGCTTATATGAAAAAAGGAAGAACTCCAACCACTTATAGTTGGTAAAAAAGTACTTTTTAAATTGCTTTTAAAGTAGTTTTATTTCCTACAGGGTAGCTACTTAAAACTTGTATTTTGTTATAACAAAATTGATTGGGCTGCAAATCTGCGTACTCAAAAAAATTCTAAAAAATCAGATTAAAAAATCGAAAATTTGCTGAGTCTTTGCGAGTTTTTCACGAAGTTTAGGAATTATATTTTTATGTTTTTTGTTGTAGAATGAACCAAATTTTTATACAAAATTATCGGAGAAATATTAGAATACAAATTGCTGCATATATTGTGAATAATTTGCTGTGCCAATACTTTGTTCCGGCAGTGTATGTATGTATATGTAACCTCTTACCACTGTAACGTTCATGCTCCAATTCCACACGGAACGCTATGGCGCATGGTGTTGCGAAAACAAGCGCCACCAGCCAAATGCCGACGAGTATTAATTTGGACACCAACATTGTGGGACGAGCTCTAAAATTAGCAGGAAAATTTTATTTTCAGTAGGAAGTCTTATAATTTTGCGAAAATTTTTGGCAAATTGAGGGCATTTATCATATTCATAAAATATGCAAATATGATGAGGTAACAGACTTTAACTGCTTTGGAGAAAGTTGCTAAAGTTTCCTGGAGAGATGCTATTAAGTATTTTTGAATTTATATTTTAGTAATTTCTTCGGCTAATTCGTCAGCATTGCTCAAAATGTTTGAGTAACGGATACATGCCCCTCCAGTGCAATATTGCGTGCCGGCCCCTTGAATGTACATAAGTCCAATTTTAAAACTTTGTACCAGAAACTTTTTACTCAACCGGTTTTTAACTTAAAACTTAATTTTTTACTTAAATAAATGCCGTTAAGTAAATGCCGTATCTTCATTGCGAATTCGTTTTCCTTCCCTCTTTGGGATTACATCTACGCACCGAGGATTGTACAGGAAGCTCAGCTTATCTGCATGTCGACGGCACTTTGGCGAAATAGCCATTAAAATACTACGATTCATTTTGTAGTGAGCCTTATGAATAAAAGCTAAGCAATTGCTTTTTCTTAAAAGTCCAAACCTTTTACTCGACTTATTCAAATAAATTTAAGTAAAAGGTCTAAAAATGTAAGAAAACGTAATTGCTTAATTTTCATTCATATGGCCCATTATTCTTAGTTAACTAAAAAGTACTTAATCTGTAATCTTAATCTTTAGAAAAATTATCAAAAACGATTTTGTGTTATTCATAGAGAGTATTGTTTGAAAGCGTTTTGAGGTACGAGGTGTTTACCAAAGAGGATCTTGTAGGGGTTTTTTTGCTATGCCAAAACCACTTTTTCTTAGTTTGGTTGGCTTTTTTTACTATTTCATAGTTTATGCTCTCTCAATCCCCAACACTCTTGCCTGCCAAATGCGATGAGTAGGCTTTTTCTATGCATCTCTTGAGATTTTTCTTTCAAAACAATAGTACAACGCGTCCAGGTACCTCGTACTTCGACTACGCATATAATGTGACAGTCGTTCCATTTAAGGAAGGGACTAGAGTCGCTTTCTTGGTAAACAACATCGGCTCGGAAAGTGATAACGGCTGCTTTTTGGAAGTCTCTCAGATCTCTTTCTAAAATTTCAATGAGAGTTTACTCCTCCTTTGTTGAGTTCTAGTAGAATGTCGTTCAATGAGCTTTCCACAGTTTAGTACCTCAGAAAAAGGATTCACAGGCACGTTTATAAATTTTTGTTGATTTTTCCGTATAGTGTAATGAGTCAAATTGATAAAATTTGATGTTAAAATTTTTGCGATTAAAAAAAAATAATTAATTTTTCAAACCTTGGTAGCGGCCCCTAAAGATCTGTTTAACATTTTCGTGGATGTCTTTATTTTGTATGTAGAACAAGATAAAAGGGTGGCTCATATAGAATATAGATATTTCTATTTTAAGTACCACCCTAATATGCATATATTGAAAAATTGCCATTATCAAATTTTTTTTATAGGAAGAATGGTATAACCTTTCTAAAGAAAGTAAGAATTGCTATTGAATGTCATATACTATAGAACGTTAGAACGACTTTAACTTAATGTCTTAACTATTTTTCTTACAAAGTCAACTTCCAGTAGGTATATGAATGTATGTATGTACATACATATGCATTTATACAGCCGGGCTCCCATTTTCATTTACTTTTGCGTTTTGCGTTTTCGTAAAAAACGTACCTTTTTATTTTTGGGTGCTCTTGAATTCGCAACTTTTTGTTATCGATAAGTTCCATTTTCCACATCGTTTCCAGCATTCTTAAAAGCCATCCCTTGAAGGTATGCAACAATTATCGCACATGTATCGTCCGCACCAAATCGTAAATCTTCGTTGCTTCGATAAATTTTCGTTGCCCAAAACGGAGATGTGTATAATAAATAGTGAATTAAACAAATAAAATCAACATAAGAAGTTAATTTTAGGACGCTAAAAATATCGCAAGATATAATGGGCATAATCAAAAATAAATTTAAACTAAGCTAGCTTGTTATTTATGTTAATTTTGCCATTTACTTTTCATTCCACCATCTCATCGGCAACCGATTTGAAACCGCAAAAATTTTCCGATTTGCGAATATTGGAGCACGTAATTTTGCGATCTGAAAACTAAAACGCAAAATTTTTGCGAATTCGGAAACGGGAGCCCGGCTGATAGTACAATTTTCTATTACTTTTACGTAAGTTCATTGAAATAACCTATACATACATATGTATGTATATATTGCACAATTTTCATTTCTAAGAATTACCTGAATGGATTGATTATAGCACGATGCCGGTCAATTGCAATTGCAGTGAGTGTGAATACCGACACATTCACAGTCAATGCCTGCACGAAAGGACAAAAGCCACACATGAACCAAGGCAAATTCCAGCGTTGCAGCAAGGCAGCTTGAAACTGTAAAAAAGTGGAAATTGAATTTCGGGTCGTCATAAAATAAATGAAATTAAAGCAACATTTAAAAGTTACATACTTCGTGTATTTTGTTCAAGAAAATTTTGTATTGAGGGAAAAAAAATATAATAAACAATGTTATATTAAAAACTACCAAATGGCCGACGTGCTTCGCTACGCCTCCAAAACCAAAATAATGTTGAAGGCAAAACTGTTTTTTTTATAGTAAAAAGGCTTATGTTGGTATTCAGTAAGCCATTGGCATCTCAAGTCACTAAATTTGAGACTATAAATTAGTGACTCTCTTTCAGCAGGGTACGAACTTTATATATTTTATTTTATTTGAATTTATTATGAAAATTGACAAAAATAGATAAATAATTTTTCACTTAATTTAACGTTCATACGCGTTTTCATAGTTATTAAAGATCATCGCAATTTTCGATTTAGTAGTTTAGGGGGGATTTATAGTTCACCAGAAAATACTCGAAAATTCGCTTCAGATAATATGCTATTTAAAATAAATTTATGCAGGTTTTATGTACAGTATGTAATAAATAAATAAGCTTTTTAAAGTTTCACAAATTGCACTTTATTTACATAAAATTAACAAAGAACTCAAACATTTTTAACCGACTTCAAAAAAGAGGGAGGTTATCAATTCGTCGACTATATATATATTTTTAATGTATGCTACCTCATAACTTTGGACCACGTGAACCGATTTTAACAATTCTTTTTTTTTTACCGGAATTAGCAATTATTATTTTTTGGTACCTTAAGGGTCGTTGCGTTATTTGGTTTAGATCCGATCATTAAATCGTGCAAAAATTAACGGTACTCCTTAATTTTTATATGAGAATTGAAGTCGGTTGTGTTTTTGCTTAAAAATTACTTGTTTAATAAAAAGTTCTATAAACACAATTTTAAAAAAGAGTTTTAATGCTCATTCTCCTTCTGGTTTTCGATAGAGATGGCGAGTTTTCACGATTGCCCCATGTTTTTAATATTTCATTGAAATAATTTCAAATACCAAAAAAATTAACTGAACTTGTATTTTTGTTATACATAGCTCAATTTGGTAAAACGAATTCCATGTTGGCAAATTAAATCTTCGAATCTTAGTTAAGTACATATCAGTGGTAAACTCTATTAGGCTGTAAAGTGTAAAAAGTAAGTAGGTGTGTGTGCATTGCATATTTTTAGGACAATAGGGCTATTCGCGATTCGGTGCATAAGAGCTGACAAATTTATGCAATTGCAGAAATATGCCGTGGATTGTGAGCGACCTTTATTAAACTGTCATGGTAAAGCTTTTGCAAAACAATTTTTGTGCATCAGCTTTGGTTTTGTTTATGAATGCAATGCATAGCATTTTTATGCTATGGATTTTCGGTATTGCAAATTTGCCAAGCAATGACAAATGCAAATGCGTGTATTTTGTTTGTGTATTGCAAATAATTTGCAATACCAATTTGCAATGCAATGATGCTAGGCCATTTGCACCGGATCGCGAATAGCCCTAATGTTTTCATTCGCAGTTAAGCTTTTAACAGTTCTCAAGAAAAGTGAAAAATGCACACAAAATGACGCAAAAGAAATGGATTTTTTTTCTATCAAAATTTCTTAAATCAGTTTGCAGCTATCAAAAAAAAAATGCCTGTATATTTATTCCTTCAAGAAAATTTACAACAAAAGCAAAGTGCTTTTTCAAGCAGCAGAAGTAATAAAAAATATTTCTTGCAAGGCACATTGAACATGTAGTATCAGTATAGCAGCTGATTTGATTTTTTTTCAAAGTATTTGGCCTCGAAAATGTCAAATATTTTTAATTTCTTCTTACAAAAATTTTAAATGGTTAAAATCTATTTGCATGTGAAACCTTTTTCCATACAAAACAAGCGATTGAATTGCAGCTTTTGGAATGCTCGCCCAACTCAGCAGCATAACCGCTGATTACTGGGCCTTGCAAAGGATGGATCAATGCTTCGAGAAGCAACAAATTTACTAAGAAAGGAAGCTGCAACAATTTTTTTTTTTCAATTTGAATTTTTTATTTTATTTTTGTAGTATTTCACATGACACGCTTTGATTTAGAAGAAAATAATCAGAACAGTGTTTGACACTTTCGATACCAGAAACAACAACAAAATACACCCAAAGGTTGTTTTTGCTCTAATGCTACTACCTCTTTGATATGCCTTGATTTATTGTGATTTTTCTTGAGAGCTCTAAGCTTTAAGATACTATTTGCGTTGTGCATTTTCTTCCGTATAAAATATGCTCAAAAATTTCGTTTGTATGGAAGAAAATGCCTAGCAGCAGCAGCAAAAAAAAATATTTAAAACCAACGCAATTTTCTAGCGTCTTGAAATTTGCACTGTGACCTACTAAAATTCAATGGACCACAAAACTGCATACCCATAATTTTTCTAAGAATTCTGAATAAAAAGTTTAGCTGGTTAGGAAAAGTGTTTAACTTTTATGAAAAAATATAAACATTAAATAAACAAAAGAAATACAGCCAAAACTAGTCAAAATGTCAATTGACTTAATCAGCTGACCACAATTGTATGTATGTATGTATGGTGTCCCAGTAAGTTTCGAATAGTTAGCAACCATTTAGTTGATATATAATAACCCCATACAAAAAAAAAAAAGCTTTTCGTCTATGCACTAACGAATTTACGTTACTCATGTGGACTTACCATGAAGCAGTTTGTTTGATTACAATGCATTGCAATGGTATCGGAAAATGCTGCAAAATGCAAAAGTAGAGATTTGTTTGCACTTTTTCCTTTGTAAAAGTCCCCTTAGCGCTTTATACGCATCTTGAACTCGAAGAATGCATACAATGCAGCACTTTAAACTTGTTTGACTGCCAATGGCATAGGACGTAGCATAGTTCAAGTAAGAGTTTTTGTCACTTAAACCATTGATAATATAGGGTGACCGGAAAAGTTTGAAAATAAATTCGCTAGTTACGTGGTGCGAGGCCATATTCCCAGAACTTGCAAAGTGATCAGGTTAGAGATTTTTCGGAAGTCAGACTTAGATCGCTGGGTGCTTAACTGACTCATGTTTTATATATTCTAGTATTCTTGAAAGCTTTGACTTTGTCCTTATTAGCACGGATCATTGCTTTGCCAAAATGGCACTAATGAGTTCCTTTTTATTCAGATAAATCCACCCTAGGGACTAGTATAGGGAAGGTAGCAGTTG